AGTAAATTGGAATAAAACCATAAAAAAAAAATGTTTTTTGAGTGCGAAAAGGTCAGTTTACCTCAAAAACCGATGGATTTTGGAAAACCAATATCTCAGTCCAGGAAATATGCGCACTTTTGCTCATTCACCATAGATGCACGGCCTCGCGAGGAACATCTTGGTTTAAAAATATGTTAGTTCAGACCTGCGCTACGCTGCGCGTTCTCAAAATACCGGAAATAACCTTTACAGCCTAGACCGTTTTCGAAAGAATCCATTCCAAAACTCTTAAGTTTCACTCGAAAAACAAAATTCTTTTTTATTTTGTATTCGTCTGACTATGCGAATATGATCTCGGTTTTATTCCAATTTACTATCCTTCAATAAAAGTCGAAGTTTTCCGAAAAAATAGCGCATTTACCGGTGTTTTTGCATTTCAAATCTTTTATAGAAGGAAAAGTCGTAGAATAAAAATTCTTTCGCCATTAAATCGGCCGTCACTCGAAGTATATGAAACACTATTTAAATTACGAAAAAGCAAACTCACTGTTTTTTTCTAAATTTCCACCTGAATGCCCACTGTGCAAAAGCAGTTGATTTAATATTGAAAAACCGTTGGGGTATAAGTAAAGCAATGAAATGCTTTACCATATCAACGGAAACAATTGACCATGGAGATATAGACGAATATACAAAAATGTTATTAGAACAGTACAAAAGTGCTGATGATGAGGTTAAAGATTATATAGAAAAAATACCACTTACTAAAGAGGGTCACATTAAGTTAAGTCGTTTATCGTCAGCACAAACAATGCATTCTCTAAAAAAAAAGTCAGTTTTTTTAAACTTCATGTATCAGAATCTTTTCTGTGTGATCTACAGAAAGAATTCTCGAATTGCTGACTCCAAAATATCATTATTTGAGACATATTGCTTGTCTAACACACATGTACGGTCCACTAGGAAAACAAAACTGCAAACGATTCGAGGGAAAATATTTACTTCTAAAACCTTTTGCACAGTTGGCCATGAATTTCAGAAATATGCCGTATATTAACGATGCATTTGGTGTGTTTCACTGCTTCTAATCGATATAAGTTTTATCCTTTCCGAATAGAAGTGGAAAAATTCCATCATAGTATTATAAGCTAAAACTATTGGAAAGTACAAAATTAGCGAGTAACTGGCGAAAACCAGTTTTGTTTTCGCATTCGTCACACTCACTAACAGATTCATATTTTGAACTTATGCCTCACTACTCAATAACGAACACTTAAACGGAAAACGTCTAGGATAGACCGAGGCTGCATCAATGGTCAGCTGAAAGCCTTTCATGGGAAAAGTGTGTGTTTCAACATAAGCTAATTTAGATTTCGACGATGAAAACTGCTTTTCACCGACCGATCCTATCCCATTTGAATGGTCCTCTCATGGATCCTCTCTTATCATTACTTACGGTCATTCATTGAGTGCCACAATAAAATAGTTTCAAGTAAGGAAGCCAAGGTCTCGATTTGGCATGATCTTGCTTTCGAAATGCTTCCTTGAGACCAACATTAAGCTCTTCCCATAGTGTATTTCGGGAAAATGAGATTTATGAATGTTAGTCCGCGTTAGTCTCACTAGTCAGCTTCATTGAATTTAGAAGAAAAAAACAAATTCAAAATCAATCTTTAGATTTGAAATTGCAGATGAAGTTATCACACTTCATCTGATTCAAATGAGGCATTATCTTTGTAATTAACTTTCCGAGGACCAACGTTTGATCAACATCAACAACTTTGATGGCATTTTTTATCACTTCTATCGGCATCCTTTCGTCAACATATATAGAACGCTAATTTCTTGGTATTATGTGTATTATATTGTACAACCGGCAACTTATTAGCCATTGTATATAAATTTACTGTAGCAAATTATCGTTTTCATTCGTTCTACTAGACATTTTCGAAAAAAAGATATTCAAGCCATCTGATGAGATCTTCTTAGCAGGATCGAAATCTAGACTATGGCAGCTTTATCTCACCCTCACCTTCAAGATAGTTTAGTCCAATTTGTGAAGGCTTTGATTCGATTCAATAGTCGGTTGCAATACAATACGACTGAGCATGACTAGTACTGTCATGCTGCGAGTAAATTAGTTGCAAAATTTTTCATTTTATTCTGTGTTCCATGTTCGTACGAAAACCTTGGAAAACAAGTAAATTGTTAAAGGAGGTAAATTGTATAAAGGATTCTAATCACAAAATTTTCATTGGGATATGCCATTGTGGAGTAGTGGAAATTTTGTTTTTATGCTTACAGCTTATTTGAAGATAATTGGAAGATAAAAATGCCATAGGACAACCACAGATGGTTTAACAATTTCGATGCAATATAAAAATCAAATTTGAATTTCGACAAAAACTTTTTTAGGCAAATATCGACTAATGATGATGTGTGGCTAGAAACAAGAACTTTGTTTATTATCAAATAACTCAATCGATATCGTCTATAAATTTTCTTTTACATAATTTGCTCAATAATCGCCAGGCTTTTTCATAATTATCCGGTTTTAACATAGATGGAACAAAACCAAAATCAGCATACATATTAATTGCTTTCCAACTAGTTGTTTGTGAATCAAGATAACATGTATTTGAATATTCAGCAATCTTTAACAGCACATAAGATATTATCGGTTTTGCCAATTTTTTTCCTTGATATTCTGGAATAATGGATACCCACCAAAGACTACCTTGTTCTTTGCCATCGATTTGATCTATACCAGCTGAAGCTGTGCCAATATATTTTCCATCAGGACTGACAAGAAAATAGACACGTGTGGAAAGTAAATCATTTTCTTTGTAATTTTGGTAATATTTCTCAAACATTACGAAACCTTGTTCAATCGATTTGAATTCTCCTGCAGCTTTAGCTATATCGACCCATTTTTGATCATCGTTTGAATCATTTTTATATAGTTGAAGTGAATATCCAGATGGTAAAGGATAATATGGTATCGAATCCATATTTGGTTTGAACATTTTAACACTAAAATATTCAATTTCATCGGTTGATTGATGAAGATAGTTGTCGGCCATGCTTTTGATGACAAAGAAGCGACAAAGAAATTAAAAGAAACGACTACCTACTGGTATCCGATATGATATTCGAGTTACATATCTTACCTGAGAGAAAGAAAAGCAAATATATGTTTATTTGCATAGAACTGACGCATTCATAGGCATTGTTTAACACCTTCGAGGCAATTCAGTTTTGGTCTTGGAGATATTCATTTTCATGGGTAGTCAACTTCTAATAAATGCACTTACTGATCTTTTCATTATGTGTTACCGGGTATTTATCGTACTCTTCTTTGTATCAACAGATAGTGGACCATTTTTTGCATCCAACTGAATACTCGCTCAAGTTACTTTTTCATTCTGTTACATGTAGTAGGCAGTACGTGTGAGATAACGGAACGAAATTTCTAACTTTTTCTTTCTTATTCTTGGCTCTCTCTTCTTTGTGTGTATAAAAGCAACCGAAAGGACCTCGCGCGTTAAGGAGTCAAATCTGCCATCCCCTTAAAATGATATTCTGATCTCATAATTTTGTAGCTAGGACCCTGCCACACATTCATAAATCTCATTTTCCCGAAATACACTATGGGAAGAGTTTAATGTTGGTCTCAAGGAAGCATTTCGAGAGCAAGATCATGCCAAATCGAGACCTTGGCTTCCTTACTCGAAACTATTTTATTGTGGCACTCAATGAATTACCGTAAGTAATGATAAGAGAGGATCCATGAGAGGACCATTCAAATGGGATAGGATCGGTCGGTGAAAATTTTTATTTTTCGCTCTCATACAGGGTGTCTCAAAAGTTCAGAACGAGTCTAAATTCCGATTTTTTTTGCATCCACCGCATGGATCGAAACGATCTATACAGTATTCAAAGCAAAAGTTGTAATATGTTCTTCCCAATGGAACACTTTTCAGAGCTCAAAAACCTGTCAAATCTGGTTTTGTAGAAATCCCTGGGTTATCAGAGACCAAAACGGTTTAAAGAGTGCACATTTCCTCGAGGAAATACCTGTTCATAGGTTGTCGAGTATCCTGATCAGATCTAATAACCGAAAAAGCTTTCAGAATTTTCCAGAAGGTTTTTCAGAGAGCTGGGTTTCAAGAAATCCTTTTATTCGGAAAATACAAGATAACTCCATTTCACATGTCGATTTCAAAATGACTGAGTAAAAACTCGTCACTATCCTGCTTTGGAACCATCACCACCTCTTGACTCTTTTTTTTGTTTCGTATTAGCCGAGTCCATAAGCTGCTGCACATCTGCAGCGGCAATTCGTTTCAGCGGAAAACCGAGCTGTTTTTCGAAAATTTGCAGCTCCGTCCAGTGTTATCCGCGCTAATTCGCGCTAACAGTATTTATAAATGAACATTCTGTGAAAATTTCATCGAGTTTCGACTTTCGAAAAATTTCGAAAACTCACTATACTGAGGACGGATCTTGGGAAAACACTTAGTGGAGAAAGAAAAAACATTTTTCCATACAGGAAAGGTTAATAAAAAAAAATTTTATGAATCTATAGTCTGAAAGGTCTAGTTTCAGAATATGTCCGATTCATAACTCAATGTCTTCTGCTTTGTGTACGAAGTGAAAGTAATCCTAATAGCTTGTTTTCTAAAATTCGTGTAACTTCGCATCAGTGAAAACAATGAGTTCTTTGATAAAAAATCGAAATTTAAGTAAAATATTCATATCATGTGTACGAAAGGCTTTATTTAATATACAATGTAAAAATAATTGACCTCTATTATTAATCAATCTCTATTATTGATCTCATATTATCTGTTCAAACAGAAAAGATATTTTTAATCATCTCGGATTTGTTTGTTGATGAAATAAGTATTTATTTTAATGAGCCACAAATTGAGTTAATTTATATTTATTATCTTTACAATAAATTTAAAGCAAACAAGTAACAAATATTTAAAACTTGGTGGTATATTTATTGATGAAAATAATTTGTATACTAAACTGGTAAAAGATGTTTCTTTATGTGATGATAACTTATTACCTATATCAAGATTTTATCCAAATGGTATACTAAAATTTGATGATTTAAGAAATGAAAGTACAAATACATTCATGTGGTTCTAATTTTTCATTATATCAATGTATCATTCACCAGAAAAAAATTTGCAAAAGAAGAAATTATACACGAATTATATTCATTTTATAAAGATAGTAAAGAAGAACAAAACAAACATGGCCGATTTTAATACTACATATACTAGAACCCAACAGTCTGAAAAGACAAAACTATTATTCCGAAATCGACTATTAAATAGTAGTTTTACTGACATGTCATGTATCACGATTTCCTAAACTATGGATGTTTTTTTGATACATCGACTCTTCTGCAAACATTTGCTCTTTACAGAAGAATATTTACTGGAAATTTGTTTTGCATTTTGAACTATATATTTTGAAAACATTGTCAAGTTAGAAGGTCAATGGTAGTTATATCATACAGTATATGATTTACCACAACCATAGAATTAATTGTTCTTATTGCAACTTTCAATTTCAGTTCGCTACGAAGGATTATTACCGATATCAAAGTGCACCATACAAACATCATAGTTATGGAACTACTATACGAACGAACTTTCACACTGCTTGCCTTTCCCCTCCTCTTCCCTCTACATATGCTCAAACAGCTTTGCAAATGTGTCTGAGCTAAAATTCTGAAACATTCGCGGCAGAGTCGTATCGCGATCTTTGTCGAAAGTGTCACAAGTAACTGACTAAGTGTTACATTGTGTTATTATTGCTGTATTGTCTTGATTCTATAGTATTGAAACTTTTCTTTCTTTATTAAAAAGCTGAGTATATTTGTTCGTCTCTTGAAAAAGAAAAGTCACTGAAATACATTTTTGTGATTGATTCTTTCTCTCAACATATAAGTCATACAAGTAATGACAGCAAATAACGTAATCAAAATGTTATAAGGGGCTCCAAATTCGAACGTCGAGTACTATTTTATTTTCACTTAAAATATGCAGCATTCGATAGAGAATTTCATACTGATTAAGAATATGTTAATTTGAAATTTTTTAGTGCATGTTATCATCGATAAATATCAAAATACTGAAATGGACACTCTTTTTGGACTAACTTTTTTTAAAATAGTGTAACTTCGTTCCAAATGATATGGAGTTTCAAAAAGGTGTTTTGCTTGATCAACGTCTAAAACAGCATCTAGAAAAGTATATTTGAAGGTTTCAGATGAAACAATAACTTCTGGGCACGTCACTTTACATCTACACCTCTTGTTTGACGGTACTCTTCTTGCAAGCCACGTGCCGCCTTTTGGTTAAGCGATAGAGACAAGTTGTATAAGCCATTCGCTTCACCGTGCAATTTAGAACAAAGTGTAAAGGGCTTTTTTGAAATTTTTTTCATTACTGAGAAAGTACATTTTTTCTGAATCAGGAGCGAAAAAATCGGACTTCTGCCCGTAGTTCTCTATATTCTCCATCAGAACTCATTTCTTATGCAATAAAACTATCATATTCGGAGTTAGCGTCGAAACCGATTCGAATGATATGTTTCGAAACTTTTCGTTGATTTTCATTTTCGGGTGACAATCTCAGTAATTTATAAAACAGCGGCTATTATACCCCTTAATATCATCATTGCCGGCAATAAACGAGATTTAGCAGTACTGAAAAATGTTTTGGCATTAATAAATATTTTAAGGCTTGGCTGCGGCTTCATTTTGTGTTCAAACAATATGGAATACACAAAATAATGGTCTGCCGATGCTAGTCGAACTATATCTATTAAATGCATTGACGATTCAATTTTTCATCATTATGGAATTTTCTCCTTCCCTGTGGTCTAGGACAAGAAATGAGAATAACAATTTTAGCAAAAGGTTCATTTTCGTAAGCAAAATGTATTGTTTTTTTGCTTTGTTGACACTGTACGGATGGAAAAAAAAAATCTAAGAAAATATCGAAAACTAAAGAATGTCTATCTACGTTTCCCACCTCATCCCTTTTTCTTCTTATATTACTGAGGTGTCTGTTAGGCATTTCCATATGATCACCCACTAGCATAATGCACAGCTTAAGCTTTTGCCATTCGAAATGATACCCTTCGAAACTAGACTAGATTGGAGACGGGTTAAGGTGAGGATCGCATTTAGGTCTCCAGTTTGAGTCATAGCTAGTTGAGACTTGATGTTAATGGATCGCCTAGTGTCATATGGAACACAGTATGAGGTGAACTCTTATAATTTAGCTAGTATGTTAAGACTAACTGCTTCTCTAAGATTCTTATTTTTACATCCTTTATTACTTTAGGTGATCATCGTCGTACTACAGCGCCCATTTCATCATCGAATATTAGTAATAAAGTAAATACAATTTGATTTACTTACTAACATGATTTAGTTGATAAGTTTGCTGAACTCTCACATTTATTATGGTCACTAGGGACATTAACACAAGCACGTATTTCAACATTAGATTATAGTTATAAAGAATATGAACAACTGACATTTGAAAAACATTTAGAATTTAAAACAAAATTATTTGAAGCCTTGCGTTAGAAAATAAATTGATTAGTTGTTGTTTCTAAGCTGATTCCATTGTTTGCTGAAAGGGTCAGATATTTGTTTTTAATGTATCTTTTGTACTGGTGATTCCGGATACTTTATTAAATCAAAACAATTTGGCGTTGTTGTTACAGGGTATCGTTCGGTTAAGTACAGAAGTAAGAGTAAATTTTTTTCAAAATATTACAGGCGTAAAACAAAAAACGAACAGATATAAGTAATGAATGAACTCCAGAATCGCAATAAGGAAAAATTTTTTTTGTGCGCTACACAGTGGGCATTTTTCCATACAGCCGGCGGACAACTGATTTTATAAGTTAAAAAGAGATTGATTATTTTCGCATAATATTGTCTTATTATGTGTCAAATTTTAATACAAAGCAAGAAAAGTCAAATTCGAAAAGGATTCTTTTCCGATGAAAACCCCTGAATTTTTGTCAAACAATTTTTTTATTTGTAAAACTAATAAGTGGTACATCACTCGAAATGAGGAAGTCGATTACACTGGTAACGTAGCGAGGAAAAGGGATTTTCTGGGAAAAACTATGGGTTCTTATCCACGCTTTTCATGATAAAGCAAAACATTTTCAGCATCAGATAGCGGCATTTTTCTGCTCCAGAAAATATCGAAACGAAGAGTTTTGATCGTTTTGTTCGAAATACGCAATCAACATTTTCAAAAACGCGCTAATCAGTACGTGGATTTTCTTTACCAATTTTGTGAACAAGGAAAACTCTTAAGAAAAAAAGTTTTTCACCATTAAATCGGTCGTTAGCCAAAATATATATGACGGTATTCAAATCTCGAAAAAGCACACTTACTTGCGTTTGAGCTAAATTTTCGGTTATATGCTCACTGTGCACTACTGATTCGTACATCATACTTGCAAGGTCTTAAACCGTATTCACATTTCATTCGTAGGGAAACCTACATCGCCTTTCTATGCATTTTTCAGACAAAAGTCTAATACAAAACGTTTGATCGTATATAACAAAACTTTTATTCTTTTCCTCTTTTCGTATGTCATATAAAAAAAATTCGTCAATGCAGCCAGTGACAGTTTCGCAAAATAATTACTGCTACTATCCGTAAATACAACGTACCCGGTTGTTTTCTCAATAACTTTGCACAGGAGAGAACCTAGAGAACTGCGATTTTCACTAATCGAAAGCCAAGACTTTTGGCATCAGAAAACACTCAGTCTTGAAGTTTCATAGAACATACGTGACCAATCAAGCTGAATCTGATGGCAATGTTTATTTTTAGATAAGAGCTCAAGAACAAGGTTAAAACCGATTGTTATAAAAATTGGCGTTATCCCGTTGTTTTCACCTAATATTAAAAGATTCACTACTCGGCATTTTCAGTTCAGTATTAACTTAAAAATAAGCATTGCTATTAGATTCAGTGTGGTTAATTACGTATGTTCTATGCAACTTCAAGACTGCCTTAAGTCACCTAATACCAGTCCTCGGGCTTCAAGGAAACCCAATACTACGTTCAAAAGTGTTAATATGGCGTGTTTTTCTCCTTTTACTTCCACGTGGTTCGTTTCATTCTACCTGTAACGACATACATACAATACCCATGCCATTTACACATTTCCTTTTTTATACATCTTTTATCGACAAGACCATAGAAAATACCTGTTGTCTACGTCTGTCTTGCTGATTTTGAATAATTGATATTGAATTAATAGCTGTCGTTTCTTCAGTTATAAAACTCGTTTCTAATAATGTCAGTAATCCATTATTTGTATCGACTTCTGTTAGGTTCTGTTTAAAGATAAAACTGTTTCTGTACAAGTTGCCACTCTTCTTCTAACTTGTAGACAATTCATAATTGCTTACTACCATTTTTACATGTGTAAGTAAATGTAACGAATGTTTCATTTTAGTTATAGTTCAGAAGTCGGGTGGTACAATCGAGAGGTGAATTATTTATAGATAAGACAGTTGTCTCATTGATAATATTGATTGTTGTTGAAGAAGAGGATAGAGATAAAATGTTTAAAAATATTTTAATAAAATAATGATTAAATTGCTTTTTATTCGTAAATTTTTATAAAAATAGCCAGACGTTTCAATTTATTAGTTAAATTTTCTTCAGTGGCAATAAAGATATGTTATAAGAAA